CCAAGCCTTAAGAATCGTGATGCTTTGCTGGAAATTTGGATATACCAAAATAACGCCTTCAAAAATGTGCTTCTCTGAGAAAAAGTAAGTACATATACTGGCTTGACGATCGGAAAATTATCAAGACATCTTACTCCTCATTTGACTTGTTTAAGTTCTATTGCACATTTAAAAATACATTCCTGTCCCATTCACAATTCAGGTAAATATGTGTTGACAACACTAATATACTACACCATGAAAATAGACAAAACCATCAAATTCTTGAGGCCGTTTATATCAAAAGTAACCAACCAACAGGCAACAAAATTTATTACGAATGTCGCAGCAACATGTCGAGGTGCATTTAACAAACATTTAATGCCATTTTGCATTTCACCCAATTTCTGATCAGGTCTTTATATTGGGATGCTTGTTTTGCAAGAAATTCCATAGCTACAATAGATAAATTTAAAATTTTAAAAATAATTATAGCATCTTTGTAATTTACTCCTGAAGGTGATCTTGCAAAAGATCAAAAGTATTTGGGTTAGAAAAAACTAATGTAAGATATTATGTATATAAGCATATTTCGTTAAATATAATCATTTCTTTTTCTGTAATTATCTTCTTAAAGGTAAGTTGAAATTCATCAAAGAACGCGCCGTATATTTTGTTAATCCAAGATGTCTTATGTCGGATACAAATTCTATTGCACAACATTTAAAGACATATTCCTTCAAAACACAGGAAATACTTGTTGATAACACCATGAAAATAACAAACAAAAATCTTTAAATTCTCCAGGCTCTCTATATCAAAAGCAACCAAAAAACAATGAACAAGACTTATGACGAGCATAGTAGCAATGTTTTAAAATGCTTTTGATTTTGCTACTGTGTTGTTATTTTTGAGGATAAGGTTAGCTGTTTTAAATTTTTTGTAGTAGATAATTAATTTAATTTTTTTGTTTGAATATGTATATATATATATATATATATATATATATATATATATAATACAAAAATAATAAATTAAAAAAAATAATTAACTCAAGACCTTTAGAAATGTAAAATAAATATATAAATAATTAAACAAAATAAAATTAAAATTACATTAAAAATAAAAATTCAATAACAGCAACATTTACTCACTTTCGTCCATTAGGCAATAAATTATATCACTCGCCATAGCTTACTTTGCCTAACAAAGCAAACATAAAGAATATTTTAGAACTTACACAAATTCAAAATTTAACAATATTTTCCTATCATGTTACTTTTGTGTATAAATACAATTTGCAAAATAAAATCTCCCCATTTACCTAGATAAGTCCCTCAGGGGACAAAATGCGTTGATAAAGAAAAGTTTTCCTTTTGTCTTCATTAAATAATATAGACATATTATGTTTACTTTTATTTATAATAATCCTTTCTAGTTGTCTAATTATTTTCTTGATAATCACAATTATCAAAATGTCTTATACTTCATTTATTAGATACAAGTTATATAGCACAACATTTAAAAACACATTCCTGTTCACATTCAAAACACAGGAAATACTTGTTAACAACACCAATATACTACACCATGGAAATAATAAACAATTATTTTTAATTCTCGAGGCTCTCTATATCAAAAGCAACCAAAAAACAATGAACAAAATTTATTACGTCTGTAGCTTATTCTTTTTTTATTTTCACGTTTCTTGTCGCTTTCTCTCACCTATTTATACGAAAAATGTTTTGCGTGAGTTACAGTGTTTCATTGAAACTCTTTCTTTCTCTTACCCCATATTTTTTTTTCTGTAATTTTTTCCCTCTTCTACTGTTTCTCTTCATCTTTTATTCATTTATCTTGTTTTCTTTTTTCGTTTAAAGATTCGAACAAATACAGAATATATTTCTTCTCTTGTCCCTTCGCTTACATGAGGAAAATAGTTTGTCAGTTTTATCTTACTAGATTTTTTTTTTGCAACTCGCCGACGCATGTTAAAATCCTCAGAGTATATTTTTAAACTAAGTTTATCGCTAACATTTTTTGTCGAGATTTACAAACTCTACGATTCGTTCAATTTCACAAAATAATCGATAAAATTTGAATAAATTTGTTTGGAAAAAATACCTTGACAAAAACCCTCCTTGGCGGCTTAATAATTTCTTTTTCCTTTTTAACAGCCAAGAAAAAAAAAATTCTTAGGATTTCTTACGCTTCAGCATGCAACATACAACTAGCAATACGTAGGTATTTCTTTCTGGAGTCAATTTCCAACTTTTTGAAGCGTTTGGCCCTGGGATTTGTTTATAGCTCTCGCAAACGCAGGGGGAATTAGGAACTGAATTCTTCTACAAAAAAAAAAAAAAAAAAAAATAAAAAATAAATTTTTATTAAATAAGTATTTATTTTAAGCATTAAATTGTTTTTAAAGTAGTGGAAGTATTTTCTATGTTGAATAATAAAACTTTTAAATTTTCATTAAAAAGGATAAAAATTTATTGTACTAAGCTACGCACCCCAGTAA